CCTTAATATAAAGATGTCATGACCTTGTAAAGAAAAATGAATTCAATACAAGAAGCTTCTGTTATAACCAAGGTTGAGAAAATCGGATTGGACATTGAACTGAAAGAATGAGAGATTCAAGATTCAATGGTTCAAGCGAGTTTAAATCGAATGACATAATGAATATTAAAATTATTTAAATGAAAATAATGGTATAATAATAATGCAATAATATAAATTTGTGACTAAAAAAATAGTAATACATAGATAATATTTTTGTATAATTTTAAATTTAAACACATTTAATTTTTAAATTTGATTCATATTTAATTTAAGTTTAATTCAAATATAAGTTTTCAAATTTAATATAAATTATCATTAATTTATGTTATATGCTTAAATATATTTTACATCTAAGGTTATAATACACAAAATTTATTTTAAAAAATCATATCTAAATATTATTTATATAAAATAATTTATCATTAATAAATAGATAAATATTTTTATAGTGTATAAATAAATAAATTTCATCATAAATTAAAATTATGTATTTTAATTATAAATTAATTAATTTATGAATAATATCTAATATATAATGTAATAGATTTATTTATTTAGTTATTTAAATAATTGTCAAATTCACCATTTGAACAGCAGATTCATTTTGCTTTGATGCAAAAATAAACTTTGTAGTGGACCGTACCAAAAAAAATTTTGTGCGGTCAACGAACGACATCCAGGAGTGAATCAAAATACGTCACGTTATTTTTTTATTGTGTCGTCGCTATTGTGTACCGCTCGTTATCAGATGATGTAGCATTTTATGATTCGTTTCTAGAGACCGTTTGGTGACCGCATCCAGGAAGCGAGTTCGACGGGTGAGAGTCTTGTGCATGAAGGTTAGGGCTTAGAGAATAGGAAGAAAGATAAAGTTTTATCTTTTTATAAAATTTAATTTATATTTTGATTAAAAAATGTTTAATTAATATGTTGAATACCTAATTGTTAAGGTTGAAGAAGTAATTTGTTTTAATAAAATATCTTAATAAATAATATTATATAGATTTTGATTTTTTCTTTCATTTATAAAATTATATTCATATGTATAAAGAGAATAAGAATTTTTTTATTTAATTTAAAAATATTAAAGTTGAAATTTAATCACTAATAAATTAATTATGTTTTTATCAATATTTAAAATAAAAAAACAGGAAGAATAACTTATATCATTCATTTAATAAATTAAATACAAGAGCTATTCAATTTTTTTTAATAACTAATTAGAGAGAGAGAGAAAGAGAAAGCAAAATTTATAATTTTAATTACTGATAACTCATCCTCTTTCTGAAAGATTATACATATAGGAGAAGATTGAACTAGCTCGACATTAGAAGAAGAATGAGCTCGACATTAAATATCATAATATTGTTGGATAGTATTTTGACATAATAATATTGTTTCGTGGTTTATCCATGGAAGTTAAAATTTTGAAAAGTATAATTAAATTACCTTTTAATTTTTAAGCAAGTGAAAAATTAGAACGTTGAGAAATATTTTTAAAATATGGAGTCCTTTGAAATATTCAAAAAATTTGAGAATATGATATACATTTAAGTGAGTGTGATAGTAATAACTACCAATCAACATCATTAAATGATAAAGTAATACTAGTGTAATAGGTTTAAGCACATTTGATTTATTTTGTATGAGAATGGAGATATAAATGAGATTATAGCAAACTTAGTTGAGGTTGTATTGTCTAAAAAATATAAATACCTAAGGATTATTATGTGATAATAGAATTCAAAGCAAATTGAAAGGTGAAATTTATAAAACTATAATCAAACAAATCATATTGTTTGGTTTATAGTGTTAGGCATTTAAAAGTTCGTTGATTGTTAAGTTGTGTGTCATGAAAATGATAGTATTTTGACATATGCCTAACAAATTTGGAAGAATGGTTGGGGAATGATTTTAGAAGAAAATTTGGAGGGACAATTATTGAAGAAAAATAGTTGAAACTTGAAAGCAAATTTAGGTTTTTTAAGCATGCACAACAAATGATTGAAAATGCTCATATTAGATGAGTAGGTAAACTTAAGAGTCAAGGAATGAGAAATATAAATATTAGACCTAAAATAACATAGATAGATTTTGTTCAAAATGATTTATTAAGAGAAAGTTTACACCTCAAGCAACACTCATTAGGCATTAATGAAGAATGTGGATTTAGAAAGCCGACTCTAAATAGTTGTCATAAGTCTAATGCTGATAAGATTTTGCATTTTAATACATTGCAAGAATCAAGGAATATTTTTAGAAAATTATAATATATGATGATAAATTTTGATTATTAAATGTTATGAATATAAAAAGTAGTGCTTATATTTTATGGAAATTGATATATAACTTTCATTTATTGAAAGGACTTGATTATGACACTTAGTCTTCAAATTCTAATAGCATATTTATCAAAAAAGTATTTTTAATTTGTTTGACCTAGCCGATAGGAAATCTCTCTTTAGTCAATCTCTAACATTATGCAAATCTTTTTTTTTTAACATTGAGATATAAGCATATATCTGCATAGTATTATCTGCATAGTTTCAATAAAGTTAGAAGATAACCTAATAGTCTATTTGCTGCTTTTAAATTCTATTAAAACTAATGGCCTAAATTAGATTCCTTCAAGGGAATCTATTTGCACTTTTCCCACAAAAAGTATATATCGATTAAAATACATACAAAGAAAAAATAAAGTGAATTTAAAAATGTATATGTTTGAAAGTATATATGTTTTTTTAAAATACATGCAAGGATATATGTAAAGAATCGTGAAATAAATTTATAATATATAAATGAAAGCATAAAAAAGGGGAAAAAAATATATGCATGCAAATTATAAGAGTTCACCTCCGTATAGTACTGGCTGGGGAAACAACATACCCATGCACGTAAAATATTAAATGGAAATGATTGTTCCTTTATTGATATATTTAGACGGTGCTCTTATACTAAATTAAAAAGAGAAAATTAATAATTGAAAGATGAAAATGCATAAATGTTATTGAAAAAAGAATATGTTATGGAAGAATATACATAAAAGATTTGTCTTGCTAAATGGAAATTATATATATACTGTAAAAGAAAGTCAAATGAAAATGATTATTTTATATAAAATTTATATAACTCAACCTGTAAAATTACATTTTTTTAGGTAGGTCTCTTGAAATATAAAAAATTGCTGAAAGAGAGTAAAATATTTACAGAAAACGGCGCTCAAATGATAACATGTAATATATGGTTTATTTAGAATGTCAATAAGAAATTGTGTTTAAAATTTAAAGAAATATTATAATTGTTCGACTGTTCATTCATGCCTCGTTAGTTTGAATATCCGGGCTGGATCGTGACATATAGGTCTTCTCTGATTATCATGGCTATTGGAGATAATACTTAACAATTTCAGCCATCCAATTTATTTTAGATTGATGTGATTAATTTATTTTTTCAAAGTTATGATAGTAAAGAAATTCAAGATACCAAAATGAATTAGTTGCTCTACAATTTTTAAATTTTACCATCTAATTATTATGACCGTTGGCGAATATTTAAATCCGTGGCCCCATTCAGCATTTGAATTTGAAAACAAATCATCAACCAGGTGCTACTTGTCAACGGGTTATAATAATGATTTAACAAACTATTAACCTAAATATTGTTAAACAATTGTTTATACTTAAATCTTTCCCTTTCTTTAAATCCCGTTTTAGAATAAAATAGTGGCTTTAAATTTCAACAAATATATTTATTTAATATTTAATTATATCAATAAAATGTTTTCATTATTATTTGATTACATTTTTGTAAGATAACTAATATATTAATTGTATTTTATATTTAATAAGTCAAATTATGTACTTAAAGTTAATCTAATTAAATCACAATTGAACACTTAATTTGTGTGCTTAACATTAGGTTTTTTTTGGTATATAGTATGCATTAAATCTTATTTCATTAAGATGAATAATTTTTTCTGACAATTTTTTTTCGTTCAATATAGAAAATTTGTACTAAAAACCGTTTATAAATAATAGCCTGTTTCTAACAAGATTTAATGCATAAGTCTAATAGAAAACTGCCCCAATTCAAGTTTAAATTTTCAATTTTTTATAAGGATGATAGTGATTGTATTATAGAAAAATAATTTTTTTATGTTCTAAAAAATGATTTTTTTAACCTAGAAAATTAGAATAGTATGAAAATTGTCTCAAGTTTAATACGTACAGAGTTTGAATTGACAGAACTATTCAATTGTGTGACTGTAAATAATATGAGCTATTACTGTTCACAATTACATAACTAAACAGTTCTCTAATCAGAGAACAATTATTACGTCCTCTGACCGGACGTAGAGCTACGTTTGACCGCCAATAACATGCGCCATGTGCTCTTACTCTTTACCGCACGGCCCGACGACTTGACCCGGACCGGAACCCAGGAATGCTATGTTTGCGTATTGCAAGGTATTACTCGGTATTGCTAGGTATTGCTTGGCAATAACTAGAAATACCGCTCTGTGAAGATCAATACCGAGTAATACCGAGTTGTATCGAGTTTTTCTAGAAAAATTAGGTACAACTCGGTATTGCTAGGTATTACTCGATATTTGCTCAATATTGCTCGGTATTTACTCGGTATTGGTTATTGTCGAGAAATCGAGAAATACCGAGCCATCCTCGATCCGTTCCTGATCAAGTTGTCGGGACACGCGATAAATAATAAGAACGCATTACGCGATTCTCTCACCAGACCAAATAAAAGTTCCGGATCAGGACTTCCCGTAATAATTTCTCGTGAGATAGATGCTAAATTTTATCATTGTAAAAAGTTAAAATATTTTAGTATTGTAGCTGTCATGTCAAAGAATATTAAAATTTAAGAAACCGAAAGTTATAGAATTATTTGATTCCCAAACAGCCCCTAAAAAAAGCCATTAAACAATATTCCTCCTCGTTTAAAATCCTTTGACTCTCTCTTTCGTCAGCCTCTTTCCACTTCAGTTCTCGCTGCTCGATACCCGCCAGCGAACTCGCTCGAGAGAGGCTGCGACGCGACTATGGGTTTCTCCTGGTTTTCTTCTTCGTACCAGAAGCCATTTAGGTTCCATTCATTCGTTTTCCTTCTTCTGGTGGTTGATCTGGCGTTTTCCGAGGATCCCTACGTGTTCTTGGACTGGGATGTATCCTATATCACGGCTTCTCCACTGGGAGTGAAACAGCAGGTAATTTTCTCCGCATTTGATGGATATTTTGATCGCTTTTTTGCTCCTTTTTGGTTCGGCGAAATTACGTGCTGGTTTCGTTGCTTCGTATTCAGGGTTGATTCTGCGGCTTTGGATGAATGAGAATAGGTTGATGTGAGGTTTTTGACAATTTCCCTTCTCTGATAGAGAGGGCTTGCCATGATTGAAGTTTTTTCTGCGGTTTTTTGGCGTTCTTAATTATGTGTATTCTTTGTGAAATTTTCATGAAAGATTATATTGGAAAATTGTTTTGTTAGTATAGCTGAACAAACATGTAGAAATGGTATTTATAAGCTGATTTAAGTTTGTGAAGTTGTTTGGTGTTAAAATAAAGTAAGGGGAAAAAAATATGAATGCTTCAGCTTAACTTCAGGTTTAACTCATATGATGAACTTGTTGTCAGATGTGAAACAACTAAACAAATCTCTATAATCCCTCATTGGTGATGCGTGTGCTACCCTGTTGCAAATACAAAGTATATGACATAATCGATACTCCCTCTTTCTTGTTTCTATGTTATTCTGAGCCCTACTGAGGCGTTTGTTTCTTAAAACAACTGGCCGATGATGCCTTGCGAACTTTTATCCATTGTAGTTTATCATTGCGGAGAATGATTTTTGTTAATTTTTTGCTTCCTCCATTGTCTTCAAGCTATTTGATTAGGGATTCCAGATAATTTTACAAAAGCCCTTGCAGTTGTTGATGTTAGCGGGACAAGGCATCGACGAGGGATAGCGGCAAGATCCGGTGAGCTAATGGCGGAGCTCATATGGAGAAGGCGAATGAGCTTTGGCAAGATACAATAAGTCCATTAATAGTGTTAATTCATGGTGAAACTGCATTGAATTTGCAGTCATACATACCACACGAGAGTCCTAGCAGAAGTTGTACAGACGTTTTCCTTAAAAACAGTGCTTAAATAATGTGCTTTTAAACTAAGGGGCTGTTTGGTAGAATCTAGGAGTTCATTTAAGTAGGATTTCATAAATCCTCCAAATCCGGATTTGCGAAATTCTAGGGGGTTAAATCCTGAAAACTGTTCGGTAACATTCATGATAAATCCAGTTAAATTATGTGTGACTGTTTGACTATGTAAGTCAGGATTTAAGGTAGTTAAAAGAAAAACAGTTGGAAATGTTCGGACTTCCTCCTCTTGCGCGAATAAGAAGTTAAATCCGCCGAATCTGTGGATTTGCGAAATCTGGGATTTACCACAAAAAGTGGTCTTTTTCCGTCAACCGCGGCTTTCATTTACCGTGAGATTTGGATTTGCATTTTAGGCCATTTGGCTGGATATCGCCCAAATCCGGCCTTAAATCCAGACTAAATCCGCATACCAAACAGCCCCTAAGAGTGGCTTTACATCTCTGAATTGATATCTAAGGCAATCCATTAACCTAGGAGGCTTCTACAATTCAAGTTGTTGGCCAATATTGTTGATGGTTCCTATTGATTATATTGAGCTGTTAACGCAGGTCATTGGAGTTAATGGTCAGTTTCCAGGACCAATATTGAACATCACAACTAACTGGAATGTTGTAGTAAATGTTCACAATAACTTAAATGAGCCATTTCTTGTCACCTGGTATGTCATTCATTTGGAAGTTGGAACTGTTAACTGCTTTTTATGATAATGGTAACCTGATAATTGTAACAATAATGATATAGGGATGGTTTACAACAACGAAAGAACTCCTGGGAGGATGGTGTTTTAGGGACCAATTGCCCAATTCCTTCTGCTTGGAATTGGACATACGAGTTCCAGGTCAAAGATCAGATAGGAAGTTTCTTTTATTTCCCTTCCATCAATTTTCAAAGGGCATCAGGCGGTTATGGTGGCATTACCATAAACAATAGAGACGTGATTCCTGTGCCCTTTGGGGCACCTGATGGAGATATAACTATCTTTATTGGTGACTGGTATACAAAAGACTATAAGGTTAGATTCATACATGTTGGAATTGAACCGGAGACATTCAATTTGTTTGCTTTAGGCTGTACTGACTTAACAGGAAAGCAGGAACTTCGAAAAATTCTTGACGAAGGTAATGAACTTGGTGTGCCTGATGGAGTCCTTTTCAATGGATTAGGACCCTTTCGCTACAATGAATCAGTTGTTCCTGATGGTATCGTGTATGCAACAATAAACGTTGAGCCAGGTAAACATCTTTGCTCCCTTTGTCCTCCATCTAAAACCTTTATTAAAATAACTTTATTGAGCAGGAATACTGCCTTGTTATTGCTAGATGATGCATCATCTTACACTCCTTCCAACGTGATCGAAGATAGTTATCACATCTAGAGCAATTTATCACGATGTACTGACCTCTCATATTGGATTCTTAAACAATTATTAACTGAATGCTTGTATCCTGACGTTCAGGGCTATAGTTCTTGCACTATTGTTTGGCTGCATAAGCAGTTACTTTCAAGAATAGTTGTTTTAGTTATTTGATGCTATTCTCAGCTGTGGCTTTAATTTAGGAATCCTTTCAAATGGTCATGTCAACCATTTTTATCCTTGCCTTGATAGACAAGTAGGCATGTTTTTCATTTTGTCTGACATTTGAAATCAGTAGTGATTGTTATCTTGCCTTACTGGATGATTGAAGTGTTTTTATTATGCTAGGGAAAACATACAGGTTAAGGGTACATAATGTAGGCATATCAACTAGCTTAAATTTCAGAATTCAAAATCATAATATGCTCCTTGTGGAGACAGAAGGGTCATACACCGTGCAGCAAAATTATACTAGCATGGACATCCATGTTGGTCAGTCATATTCATTCTTGGTTACCATGGATCAAAACGCTAGCAGTGATTACTATATAGTGGCAAGTGCTCGGTTTGTAAATGAAACATTCAGGGATCAAGTAACTGGAGTGGCAATATTGCACTACTCAAATTCTCAAGGTTCTGCTTCTGGTCCTCTTCCGGATGGGCCCAACAAAGATGATACATACTTCTCAATGAATCAAGCCAGATCAATCAGGTACTCAATCATGGCATGATTATTCCCATTTTTATGATTTTTCTGAAGTTGTCCACATCCCTAGTGGTCTATATGTGCTTGTGTGTCTAAGCAGGATGCGAACATGCAAGTGACTCCTTTGTTTATTTCTTTAAACATGCACGCACATCTGAATGTGTTTTTCAAATTGCTTTGGTGCAAACCTATAACTTTTTCTAAAACTGGTTGAGGCTACCTGATGATTTATGATATTCTGACTAATTTCAGATGGAATGTCTCTGCTGGTGCTGCCAGGCCAAATCCACAGGGATCATTTCGCTATGGTCAAATAACTGTAACTGATGTGTATGTATTGCTCAATGTACCTGCAGAACCTGTAAATGGGCAATTACGAACTACTCTTAATGGTATTTCTTACCTTGACCCTGCAACACCACTTAAGCTTGCGCAGCAATTCAGTGTGCCTGGAGTCTATAAACTGGACTTTCCGTATCGAAATATGAACAGACCTGCAAAACTTGACACATCTATTATTAATGGTACTTACAAAGGTTTTATGGAAATCATATTCCAGAACAATGCTTCAACGGTTCAAAGCTACCACCTGGATGGCTATGCATTCTTTGTTGTGGGGTATAATCTCTAAAGAACAAAATACATGTTTGTTAGTTATGTAGTTAATTTGGGCTTAACCTTTCTTATCGTTTGTTTGTTCTTTAAGAATGGATTTTGGAATCTGGACAGAAAATAGCAGAGGCACCTATAATAAGTGGGATGGAGTTGCTCGTTGCACAACACAGGTATTCAAGTTTCTTGGCTTTTAGCTTGCTAGACTGAATTGATTCCAGTAACAGGGAACTTATAGCTTTTTGGTCTGTCAACATCAGAAGGATAATAAAAATAAATGGGTAAGAGGGGGGAGTAAAACCTAAAGTAGTCTTGAGCTTGGGTTTCATGCCTATGAGATTATGTCTTATTTTTCTTGGGCTTGATACCCTTTCTAAAAGATTCTTGATTCTCTTAAAAATTGCAGTTTTAGAAATTAAATTCTCTGAATCAGATGCCTAAAACTATTATGACATTTGAAATGTAAATATTTAAGTTTTGCATCTTTTAATGTGATCTCTATATGGTTTTATATTGCCTCATGCAAATTGATCATCAGATAAAATGCTTATATGTTCAGAACAGACTTCTAAGGTGTTTGAAGCATGCTTATTCTTTTTTGCGCATTTGAGTGGTGTGAGAGAACGCTTGAATTTTCATCATAAAAATGTCCAGCAGATCGAGAAGAACAGTTCTTAAAGTTCCGGTATTGTAACTTAACTACCACTTGTTGCAAGCTCTTAAAACGAAGGTAGACAGAACAATCTTGTTTCTTGAAGGCTTCCTTAAACTTTTCCCAAGCGTTTTTTCTAGTCTTCCGATGCCAGAATAAAATGTGTCTCTGTGGCCAATACAAAAGTAGACATTAACGGTTTTCTTTTCTGCGGGGTTGTCCATTCCAGCAAAAAACTTTTTTTATCTTTGTAGACCAGGCTTCTGCCTCAATTGGATTGTTTGCAACAGACAATGTTGTCCATCACAACTTCCTAAACTCTTTTGATTTGTTCTGCAAATTGCTTTCAGGGCTCCTCTCATAGTTTGTAGGAATGCCTGGTTTATCCCGGCTGGTGCCGTAGCTGTAATCGAAGAACTTGTGGTTCTTGGTTTATCTGCATGTCTTTGAGAAGCTAGAGGTAGCCATTCAGGACGTTCGTATATGATGACTATCACCTTTTTGACACCTCAAGGGGTGTGACCCTGGGTATTCCATTCATTGGAGTTAGGAGCACTGATGTCACCATCTTTTGGCACTTAAGGGGTTGACACTTGTTAATCCTCGGAAGACCTTGAAGGAGAAGACTATATGAGGGAAAATCAGGGGAAACTTCAAGAAGCTCACTGAGAAGGAGCTACAAGAGAAGAGGGCGAAGAGGTTATATTTTAAATGTGATGAGAGGTATATACCGAGACACATTTGTAAAGACTGAAATCTTTAGGTTCTTACCATCTGTGATGATGAGGAAATTGAGTAGATGGGAGCGAGGCAGGGTGGAGGAGGAGGTAGAGCTGCTGTTAGATGTGGTAGAGGTCTCCTTAAACTCAGTAGTGGGATTCATTCTAAATTGCACCATGAAAGTGAGAGGAGAGATAGCAGATAGGGAGGTAGTGGTGTTGATAGACAATGGAGATACCTACAATTTCTTCTCTAACCAGGTTGTGGACCAATTGAGATGAAGCTAGTGGACACAAGATGCTACAGGGTGATGATGGACATAGGAAAAGTGGAGACATGTACAGGGGGGTGGCTCTGACCATACGGGGGTCCCAAGTGAGGGAGGATTTCCTTCCATTAGAGTTAGGGAGTACTGATGTCATCTTAGAAATGAAATGGTTGAAGACCTTGGGAGATGCCAATGTCATTTGGAGAGCACTTATAATGGAAATAATAGTTGAGGGAAGAAGGGTGGTGATCAGGGGAGATGCAGGGTTATCCAAAGCCATGGTTTCTCTCAAAATCATGTTGAGGATCATATAAGAGGTGGGGGGAGGGTTTCTTGTGGAGTTGCAGAGCTTGGAGGGGATCCGGTCGGAGGAGGGGAGAGACATCCCTTTGTCAATACAACAATTTAGTGAGGTCTTTCAACCACCTCAAGGATTATATATGAAAAATGGAGATAGGTACAGGGGGTGGTTATGACCATACATGGGTCCCAAATGAGGGAGGACTTCCTTCCGCTGGAGTTAGGGAGCATTGATATCATATTGAGGATGAAATGGTTGCAGACCTTGGGAGATGCCAATATCATTTGGGGAGCATTGACGATGTAAATGATAGTGGAGGGAAAAAGGGGGTGATCATGGGAGATACAAGGTTATCCAAAGTTATGGTTTCTCTCAAAATCATGGTGAGGATCATATAAGAGGTGCGAGGAGGATTTCTTGTGGAGTTGCAGAGCTTGGAGGGGATCAGGTTGGAGGAGAGGAGAGGCATCCCTCTTTCAATACAGTTGTTCAGTGAGGTCTTTCAACCACCTCAAGGATTTCCACAACTGATGGAGCAGAAGCATGCCATCACTTTAAGGGAAGGGGTGTGACCGATAAGTATTAGACCTTATCGATGCACTCAAATCCAAAAGATGAGATCGATAGCTAATGCAGGAGATGTTGGAAGCATGAATCATCAGGTCGAGCTTGAGTTCTTTTGCTAGCCCAACCTTATTGGTCAGGAAGAAGGATGGGAGCTGAAGATTTTGTTTGGATTACTTGGCCCTGAGTAAGGAGACTAAGCCAAACAAGTTTCCTATATAGGTGATCAATGAGTTGCTTGATGAGCTTTGTGGAGTGGTGGTGTTCACCAAGATAGAGCTGAAGTCCGAGTACCATCAGATCAGGATGAGAGAGGAAGATGTCCTGAAGATTGCATTCGAGACACATGAGAGATGCTATGAGTTCTTGGTGATGTCTTTTGGCTTCACAAATGCACCTGTTACATTCCAATCCCTCATGAACAGAGTGTTCCGACCATACCCCAGGATATTTGTATTGGTTTTCTTTTATAACATCTTGGTGTATAATATGTTGGGCGAGGAGCATTTGGAGCATTTGAAGGTGTTAAAGGAGCATCAGCTGCGGCTCAACCTGAAAAAGTGTTGCTTTGCACATTGCAGTCTGGAATACTTGGGGCATGTGATATCTCAGGAAGTGGTGGTCGTTGATTAGGCTAAGATTGAGGCTATATTGAAATAACTGCTACCAAGGATTCTAAAGAAGCTGAGTGGTTTTCTAGGGTTAACCAGGTACTACATGAGGTTTGTGAGGGGGCCTGACCATTGATGGAGGAATTGAAGAAGGATAGTTTTTGGTGGGAAGAGGTAGCTACCAAGGCCTTTGAGATACTAAAGAAGGCCATGGCCATAATATTAGTTTTGACCCTACCAAAATTTAGCCAGGTTTTTATAGTGGAGATTAATGCATCATGATATGGATTGGGGGTAGTGCTCATGCAGAATCAGAAGCTCATAGCTTACTTCAGTCAAGTATTGACGAGCTAGACTGAAGTCAGTCTATGAGAGAGAGTTGATGGTCATTGTGCTGTCCATTTAGAAGTGGCGTCCTTGTTGGGCTGACATTTCATCGTAAGAACGGGCCAGAGGAGCTTGAAGTGCCTGCTAGAGCAGAGGATGATGACTGAGAAGCACTAGAGGTAGCAATCAAAGCTGTTGGGTTATGATTTCGAGATCCATTATAGGTCAGGATTAGAGAATAAGGCGATTAATGCATTGTCCAGATGCATGGGGGAGCTCCAAGGTTGGCTATTTCAGTACCACTGATGTTGGATTGGGATGTTATTAAAGAGGAGAGTATTTAAGTCGAGAAGTTGAGGATTAGGGCAGATTTGTTGAAGGATGAGAGTAGCCACCCTGGCTATTCCCTTGAGGGAGAGATACTGTTGTACCAAGGGAGAATTTTGTTGCCACGAAACTCAATCCATATTTCTCACCTTCTGCAGGAGTTCCACAGGCTGTCGGGGGCAATTCAGGTGCAAAAGACGTACAAGAGATTGACGGCGGAGTTCTATTGGAAGGGGATGCATAATGATGTGGAAGAGATGGTGGCTATATGTGAGGTGTACCAGAGGAGCAAATACATGGCCATGGCTCTGGATGGGTAACTGCAACCTCTAGCTCTTCTAAACATAATGTGGGAGGAGGTTACCATGAATTTTGATAATGGAAGCAACATTCATCAGAGAGTTGGTTAGACCACATGAAAATTTTGAATCGATAGTATCCGATTAAGATAAGGTGTTCCTCAGTCATTTTTAGAGAGAATTGTTCAGGATGTAGGAAACAATATTGAAGAGGAGCACTGTGATGCGGGCCGCCGCCGACCGGCAGAGGGGGGGCCGGCGACCCCGGCAAGCTCGGAAGCGACCGGAAAGGCGGGACGCGTCGGCCGACCCGCCGAGGGATCGCGCGGAGGGACGCGGGCGCAGCGCGTGACGCAGAGCGGGCGGGGGGGCTTCGGCTTGAGCGGAACCGGTCCATTTCTGGACCGGTTTGGCTCGGGTCAGCCCTGAGCTGGGCGGTTCAGCTTGGGCAGCCCACTAGTGGGTTTGGTTTGATCTTTTGCTTGCTATAAGTGGGAAATGAGGGGGGATTTTTAGGGTTATGCAAGATTGAAGTTTTCTCTTAGCCTCTTAGTTCTTTCTCTTGTTTTTTCTAGGGTTTGTAGTGGGAGACCTTGTCCTTCTCGAAGTGGACAAATTGTATCTTGTTTCTCTTGGATTTTGAATGCAAACTTTCTTGTTCTTCCTCTCATCTCTCTTGTGTTGATTTTTGTCTTGGATTTGGAAGAGAAATTTCTTCTTTGGAAGAGCATTAGGGCAAATCCTAACTTGGGAACCCTAAGGCGTATCAAAGTCCTCTACCTTCCTTTGAAGAGGTATTTTTAGAAGTGAGAGAGAGGGAGTTTAATAATTTAGTGGGGTCAAGTGTGATCCGAGTTGAACCTTTAATTCAATGTCAACAACTTTATACCTATGCTTGAATTTACATATCTGGTGGAAAGGTCGCCATGTATGCTGACATGATATAATAGTCAAGATTTAGTCTCTTCATGCCGCAATCATTACATAGAAATTGTGGAAGCATGGATCAAAGTATCATTGATGGATGATCCAGAAAAAAAGGGAACTCAGTCCTATTTTTGAGTTTCCAGTAAAGAAGGAAAATATATCCTCAGGACAATAACT